GCCATATGGTATTTATACTTTTATACTGGAATTTCTTTGTGTCATCTAATCTCCTGCAGGTTCAGCACTATTGCCACAAATAATATAATTTCATTAATTTTCAATAATTGAGTAGCATCCATTGTGTGCGTATATCCGTCACTTTTTTTTTTTTACATATTCTTCTACCGATAAACATTTACATTGAATCTTTTTTTTTGGCTGTTATGAGTATGGTTGAAATGAATATAAAAATACAGAAACTCCCCAATCTGTGATCTCATAATGATATTGGTGCACATCGTGTTTTTGCTGATCAGTGATACTGAGCCTTTCTCATTTGGCTTTGGCTTTGTGATGTCTTCTCCTAGAAAACTTGCCATACTTAAAATCTGATTATTTGACATGGAGGTTTGGAGTTTAGATTTCTTTTTATTTTAATATTAACGCCTTGTCAGATGCATATTTTGCCAATGTTGCTCTCAATTCCTGTGGTTTGTTAATTCTTCTACTAATTATATCCTCTGTTGTGTAGAAACTGTTTTGTTTGATGCATTTCCATCAAATATCATGTTAAAGTAGTTCATTTCACTACATTTTTTCTTAATTATGCAAGCATACAAAAATCTATTGCATAATACACTGAAATCATAAAATTTGAGAGGAACAATAGTTTGGTATTTGTAAAACAAGTTTGGTGTGAACTGGAATTCTAGTTCCTTCTTTGATAGCTGGCAGCTCTGTGAACATAGTCAACTGAGTCAGTTCTTGCAAGTTTTAGCTTCCTTTTTGAAGAATAAAATAGTCTAGCTCACAAGATTATGGTGAAAATTACAACACACAAGTTGACTACCCTAATGATCTTTATACAGACGTTACTTAGAAAATTTAGCATCACTAACAGTCATGAATGATTGATAGTTTAACTAGTCTAATTCCCCCAGGAGGGAACAGCTAAGGTCAGAAAATCTAAGTGACATATCAAAAGTAAACCAAAAGTTCCCACTTTGCAATGGATACAAGTTGAGAAAGATTTGTTTTAATTTCACCCACACAACCAACAATCTGCAGCAGTGGAAAACACAACCTCAGCCCTCCAAAGGAGTAGTCTGGCTCACTGATCATGTTGTGTACCTATGTTTAGTCTTTCACTCATAGCACTGCAGAACTGGAGAGACGGACCACTGTGAGTACAGTTTTGCTTGTACTCCTAAAACGTAGTTCTCATCCTAAACCCTCCTATGGCTCAGTGTGGACATTGTTGATCCTATCAGCAGTTCAAATGTCTGCTGTCACAATGCAATATTTAAAAATCCTTAGAAAGTTAATAATAAAATAATGATACAGTAGCATTAGCCTTTATTGCATAAGCTTTGAAATCTGTGTCTGTACTGTTGGACTGATAGCTCTTAATTTTCATAACGACTATGAAAACTAAGAATTATTCTCAAATCTTTCATGTTAAATCACAAAAAAAATCTTACAGATATATTTTGGCTGAGCTATAATAATTCCACAGGCTGCTGATGATCTCTACCCATTTCTGAAGGCCATTTCCTTGGAAAATGAAATTAAGAGATCGTGCTTGCCTTTGTGTTGCTGGACATGAAAACATTCTGGTGCCCCCTAGAGGTCATTAGGAATGCGCAGCTGTGAAGTCCCCCCCACATGGGAACCTGAAGCAGGTGCCTTCAGTTGCCGCTGCGTTCTCTACACCAGCCAGCTCAGAAGCAACCACAGAATTGCTCCAGAGCAGTGCTGCTCAGCCTTCAGTATGCATCCAAACCGCGTGAGGGCTTTTCTGAACACACTTCTGGTTCCTGCTTCAGAACGTCTCATCCTGTGGGTATGAAATAGGCCCTGGAAACTTTCCATTTCCAGCCATGATCTGTTGTGAGGCTGATGTTGCTGGTCTAGGGACCACATTCTAAGAGTGACCGATTTAGAGAATCATCTCCCCGTGGAAGCTATCTCCAGAAGTGGGTCGGGGTTTCATGTCCTGAGGGAACTATGCTGTGGACCCCTGTTCCCATGAACACCGAGTACCCAGACACTTGAACAGCTTCCGGAGCAGCGGTGGATCGCCTGACCTTCAAGAGCTTCACGGGACCTAAGACAGTGGGGTGAGGGAGAACCAACAGGTGTGAGACCAGAGAGCTAAGGTGCTTTGCCTCAGCTGTGTCCTGGCTCAAACCCAGCATCTTCTCCTGTTTAAGAATACAGTAGCGGACATCAGGATTTGCACCGTGGTTTAACTCTGTGAAAGAGCTGGGCATTTAACTGGCTGTAATGAAACTTGAATTAAATCGTAATCTCTATGATTATTAATTAGATTGGGATTCCACATCTAAAATTTCAAACATGATATTGTAAGAAAAGTTTGATAGTCGCAGTGAACACATTTGGCAGCCACGGAAAATACTAACAGTTAAGTGCGAAACTGCTCACTTATGTGAATTTGATCAATGCTGCTATAGATCTCTATTTCAAAAAAAAAAAAACTACAGTTCTCACTCGTGTTTATTCCCTATTCATCAACTCTTTGTTCCACATATGCCCCAACTTCACCTCCAGCCTAAAATCAGAAACACTCTTCGTTCTCTCCCCTTCCCTCTCTGCCACTCTTCCTATCTGCCCACCTACCTATGTGCTAACTAACATAGGTCTTCAAGAATGAAAGTTGTTTCAAAATTATTCTAACAAAGTGATTTTTTTCTTTTTAATCAGGAGAATGGTGGACTTGATAAAAGCTGACATGTCGGATCGCAGTTCTGCGGAATGCAGGTCAGGATTTATGGAGACCTCATGTGGTGACAAGCAGCACCACAGACCGCTGCCTTCAGGGTCTGTGGCATGCAGAGAATAAAAGCTAAATAGTCATAAAATAACCTAGAAAGAGCAAGTTATAGAAGTAAATGTGTTTGAAGTACCCAAGGCCTTCCACAACATCTTGCACTGATACTGAAGAAATAATGTAATATTTTTAAAAGTTAGAAACATGGTCACTTTAGCAACCTTCCTTTATTAATCTCAAAGTTGATGACACACAAAAATTGTCGTGCCATGCTTCTCAGGAATTAGTTGCATTCTTCCTTTTTTGTTAATGAGATCCATAAGGCATATCTTCATATTTAAATTAGCACCAAATTTAAAAAACATGTTTTTATAGGCATGTTGCTATGAATGTTATTTTCAGCTCCTTACTTCTACACAGGATGGAAAGTGAGCCGGACAGAGACGCAAATTTGAATTCTTATTTAAGAATTTCATTTGTGTGACGATATCACTATTATTTGGAATATCCGGACTGCAGGGTATACCGTCGCAGTTAAGGCAAGGATGAGTCCATGTGGTGGTCAAGTGGTGCACAAACACATCTTGCCACCTGCCAACAAAGCACTCAAGTTTTAAAATGAGCCAAATTAGTGCACGTTCATCATGTAGTTTGCTGGAAAGAAACTCGACAGAGGAGAAGGGTCCTTCCTCAGGTTGTTCCTTGTCTCACTTTGCGTACAAGGAATGAATTGTGACTTCTGAAGGAAGTGGATTACACAGCAGACCTAAAACTAAAGCCAGAAGGACAAAGGAGTCCCTAAGTGGCAACTATTTTGAAGTTGTGAAAAAAAAAATAGTGCATCGTAAATCTACAAGACATCCTGAGAGTTCCAATTCTGTTACTATTGTAAAGTGCCCTGTCTTCCCAAAGGTTCTCAGGACTTTGCTTTAGCCAAATCAAGCAAAGCAACGCAGAGAGAACCAGCCATTATAAAAGAACATAAAAGAAAATGTAAGTAGGAATGATGGTGTTGTTTCAGGCTGATTACTGTTTGAGCTGAAGGCTGTGGCTCTCAGGGCACCTACTGTATACCAGGGGTATTTGCTGGATGCTGTATATACCGAGAGGAACTGGACAGGTGTCTTTTCAGGAGCAACAGATAACCACAGAAATAATGACCACACTGGGAGAAGAACAGGAGGCTCTGGGCTTCCCCAGGGCCCCCTGAAAGCTTCCTGAAGGTGGAATGTGACCACGCGAGGAGTTTAAGTTCAAGCTAGAGAGAAGACTCATTTTAGAAGTCCTTTCAAAGCTGCGGTGAGCAGGAGAACATTAACCATTGCCAGAGGGACACCACACTCAGGAGACAAGAAGAAACAAGGAAATTCTCTCACAAAAGACAATGCAGAAAAAAATATACAGAGCTGCCCTGGACTAAAGGAAACCTTCTGGTAGAATATACGTTATCTTGGGTTTATTTTTCCCCCTGCTACTCTTTTTAGGAGAGAGTAAAATGGCAGAGACATTCGAGCTCTCTGAGTTTGAGCAATGGCTGGGTATGGCTGAAGCCTCGCCTGAGCCTGGCGGTGTTCAAAGTGTGATTACAAACAAAGGGTTAAACAGACTTGGACGGCTTGGAGGCCAAACACCATTTCCAACTTGCAGAAACTCTGAACTTTTAAGCTCCCCCAAATACACGAGTGTGTGTGTGTGTGTGTGTGTGTGTGTGTGTGTGTGCGCGCGCGCGCAGGCAGATCTATTTCGGTAGGATTCCTTTTTTAAATTTTTTTTTTTAATTTTAAATCATAATCTGTGTGTGTTGCTGCGTTGCAAGCGCTCGGCAGCTCCCTTAGGAGCGCGTGGCTAAAGCTGCAGCGGAGGCGCAGGCAGCGCTATTTAAGAGCCGCGTTCAAAGCCGCCCTCTCCCCACAGTCCCGTTGCGAACCGCCGCGTCCGAGCCAGGGTCACCGCCGGGGCCAAGGAGCTGGGGGCGGAGAACCCGGGAACCTCCTTCCCCGGGGCAAACTTTGCCCGGGCGTGGGAGCGAGGGCGCGAGCCGGGGCGCACGGGAGCGCGCGCCGCCCGCCGCCGCCTCCGCCAGGCGCTGGCAGCCCCGGCCTCACCTCTCCCCGGCGAGGTGCGGGCTCGGAGCGCGCGGCCAGGGGGCGGGCCCGGGCGCGCGGGGCGGGGCCGGGGGTGGGCGCTCGGGCGGCTATATAAGGCGCTCGCAGGCTCAACTTCGGAGTTGGGGTTATTTATTTGGGGAGCTCCTGGACGGCGGAGGTTGGCGGCGGGGGACGACGGGGGCTGCCGCACACGGTGGCTTAAGCAGGCGGTGGAGGCGGCGAGTGATGGGAGCGCCGAGGCTCCCGGGCGCAGGCCGGAGCTGCCGAGCTTTCCGGGCGCGGCGAGAGTGCTGAGCAGAAAGGGGAGCGTCCCGGGGGTCTGCAGCCCGCTCCAGAGGCGCGGGCCGGGATTCTGCTTGGCTGCCCCCCTCCAACCCCCACTGCCAGGCGTCCGGAGCGGACAACTCCAGTTACAGCCACAGCCCACCTCCCCGCAGCCCGGCGAGACTCAGGCTGCCGCGTCCGTCCTATTGTTCAGACACTTGCCAGGGACTCCGGAGCCGCTGAGCCACCGAGTGCCCGCTCCCGGTCGCCGCCTTCCCTCTCCCTCACCTCCCTCCCCCGAGGACGAGGCCCGGAAAGCAGCGAGGGCAGTCGGGAGAGGGGAAGGGGCTGCGGAAGCACGGGCTGCGGAACTGCGGCCGGCGAGTCAGGTGCGGCAGTCGGAGCCGGGAGGCGTCGCGACGAAGGCGGGCGGACGGACTCCTGCCCTGGCTGTGGGGGACGCGATTCAAAACCTGGGAAAAGTTCCTGCACTTGGAGAAGGAGGATCTACTGGTGGGCGGGTGTTGAGCTGCTGCGTCCGCCGGGAGCCGCCCGTCGTCTTTTCCACCTTGGCCATCAGGTGTCTGCCTTGGAGCTGCGGCGTAGCCTGGAGACCACAGGAGCTGCCACACGCGCGCACTCACCGCCGCCGCTGAGCTGTCTCCCGGGCTCTCCACGGAGTCCCGGATCCCGCTCGCCCGCCGCCCCCCTAAGCCATCCTCCGAGACACCTCAGCAGGAGCCGGGTCGCGGACACTTCCACCTTGGTCTTTGCCTTTTGGTTTCTATCGGCCTGCCGGGAGGCAAGTCCCGCTCCAGCCAGTCCCCACTAGATCTTAGCGGGAGCTTTCGTCCTCAACTTGGCCTCTTGGATTTCCCCTGCTGGGGGTGCCGACCGGTGGATATTTCTGCCCCGCTGCAGCGATCGACTGCCCTTTTGTCTTTTTCTGCGTGACCTCGGGGCAGGCCCTGGTGCAGAGCGTCGCCAAGGACGCCGGGCGGGAGGCGGGATTGCTGAGACACCCTTCGGCGAAGTGCATGTGCATTTGCACCCGGTCCTCGGCTGTCGGGAGACCGCGAGGACGGCTCCGGGCTGCGGCGGAGCCGCGGGCGGGGGAGAGGCCCTGTGAGTGTGTGCCCGCCTGCGCCCCCCGGGCTGCGCGTCCGCTCAGTGCGCCCCGGCGCGCCATGCCCAGTCGCCCGGCGCGCTTCGCTCCGGGCCCACAGGGCTTCGGCGCCTTCTAGCTTCAGGGAGCCCACTTTGACCGTGGCCACCATTTCTACTGAGCTCAGCTCCTCTGCCTTGTATCCTCCCAAGTGGAATTGGATTTTGCGGAGGGCTGCGTGGGATCAGAGCACTCTCCGCCCCCCACCTTCCCCTGTGCCACTGGCCCCTGCCTTTGCCCAGACGGTGGAAGCCCTGACGCTCTTGTCGACAACTTGATCTACCTTAGGAGACGAAAGACGCGTGCTCACCCTTGCGCTGCCCTCGGGGTCTCTTTGCAGCTTTGGCCAAGGACCCCTTCTGATGATCAGGACGTGAAGTTGCTTCAGGAGCGCCTGCCCTGCTAGAGGAGGGTGGTGGGAGGCGTGTGCCTCCTTCGGCTCTACCGCCCTGAGTATTCTTACTGCTCCGTATTATTTTGCGCACATTTTCCTGGGCACTTTGGGTTGCTAGTCCCTGCCCTGGGCGCTGGGCCTCCGACCGCGCGCGGATCCCTCTTTGGAGCAGCGAGCTACAGAGAACCCCCTGGCGTCGGCTGGCGAGGAGGCGGCGGGGGGAAGATGCGCGCCGTTGGCTGGCAGACGCTGCCCCTGTCGCTGGGGTTCGTGCTGGCGATCCTGAGCGGCGTGGCGCCACAGGCGTGCCCCGCACAGTGCTCCTGCTCCGGCAGCACGGTGGACTGTCACGGGCTGGCGCTGCGCAGCGTACCCAGGAACATCCCCCGCAACACCGAGCGACTGTGAGTATGCGCCCTCCCCGCTCCTCCCTCCCCATCGGGGTCACGCTCCCTCCGCGGCGGAGACGAGTGGCACCGAGCGGGCGGCGCCGGAGCGGTGCCTCGGGCAGCCCCACCGGCACGCGCGCCGCGGGGGTGGGCTCTCCGGGAGGGCACTGCCCGGGGAGGGGCTGTGCCCGGGGAGGGGCGGGTCCGCTGGCAGCGGCGCTCGGCGCTGCCTCCCCCTCCCCGCCTCCGGCCGGCGCCTAGCCACTCCTCGCGGGCCGCCGCGTTTTCTCCTGCTGGGGAGCAGGGAGGCGGGGGACAGGTACTCTGGGATGCCTGCGGGCAGGGAGACGCGACTTTGTTGCCCCAGACTCCCCCTCCCCACCCCCAAAGCGGTCACTTGGCGGTTGCCAACACTCGCAGGTTGGTGTCAGGGCCGTGTCTCTCTTCCCGTCGCCAGGGCTGGCGAGGAGGGGGATGGCGGGGGCTTGCAAAGAGAAAAAGTTCCGGCCCCTGGCGTCGTTTCGCCTTCTTCGGGACGACGTGAGGGGGCAGAAAGGGGTCACGGGGACGCCGGGGAGCTGTTTCTCACAGAGCAGGAGGGCAGGGTGTCCCTGGACCGCGGCAGGTCGTGTAGCTCCCCCACGCGAGTCTGCCCTGCCCCCCGCCTCCCCGGAGCGGCGGCGAGGCCTGAGGTGCTCTTCCCGAAGGACCGGGGACCGCGTCCCGTCCCTGCAGCCGAGTCGGCTCCGTCTTTCCGGCGGGAGTCGGCCGAGCCTGGCCCTCCCCGGCGGGCCCCGAGCCCTCGGCCGCCTCCGTGGCGCTGTTTGCGCGCTCTGCCGGCGGCTCCCCACCTCCCGGCCGTCGCGCTCGGCTGCCCGCACGCCTCCCCGCCTCCCCGTGCCGCGAGGGTCTGATGAAGCAGTCAAGGCGCAGCCGGTGCGGACGCGCTCCTGCCTGGGAGCTTCCCGAGTTGAGGGAAGCCGAGCGTGGAAGCCATTCTCTTTGTGAGCGCCAAGGCCGCGGGCCGCGCCCGCTGGGGCGTCCTGGGCGCGCTCCGCTTCCGCGGTCGCGCGTGGACTCCGTGGACGCCCCGCTGGGGCCACGGTGCCGGGATTCGGCTTCTGCGGCCTCTTCCACCCGGAGCCGTGGGGTTTGCGGCCTCAGCGAGGGCGCCCCAAGACCTGCAGGTCCTTGCCGACGCAAGCTACCGGAGCCGGAGTCTCCCATCTTAACAAGCCCATTTCTCTAGTCGTCGGTTAGAAGGCCCGAGGTTCCTCAGCTCCCTAGACTGGGGGTACCCCTCATTCCCACCCTGCCTCTCCACTGGACGAGTGGGGGGCCCCTACGACGACGGCTGTCACGTGAACACCATCTTTGTCCCTGGTTCTTGGTGTAACACATCCTCAGTAAAAGAGTCCAATAATTTTAATACCAACGTAATGGCTCTTGGCTCCAAGTGGGGCTGGAGCAGTGGATTAGAGAGAGAGAGAGACGGAGGGGGTAATGAGGAATTCCACTTTGGCGTTTGTCACTTCATGCTGTGTAGAACCGTGTAAAGTTTAAACACTAACAGATCTTAACCAAAGTGAAAGGTGCTCCAGGGTGAAGGGAGAAAAGGCAAAGGCTGCCGAATTGCAGGTCCTCAACGAGAATCCCTAGGACACAGTGTCCCGGAGTTCCCAGGAAAGACTTGCGCTGGCTTGGGAAGCTGCTCTGTCCTGCACTGAGCAAGCTCCTTCTGCAGACTGCCAAGCTGAGGTCTTAAAGGCAAAGATAGAAGAATATTCAAACTGCAGTGAAACCTGTTTTTACTTGAACTGATTGGAACCAGGACGAGTTTTAGATCTTGACCTGAGATGCCAGAAAAGGGCATTTCGACCAAATGGTGTTGAAATCTGGACGCAAGTGTCGGGGCCTGAGTCCCAGCTCCACTGTGGCCCGTCCGAGTGGTCTCCACTTTCCCTGCCCGGTGGGGTTCCCTTCGCTGCAAATGAGTTTAGCTTTCCTGCTGACACAGACTTGTTGGAAGGGAGAAGCCTAGAATTGCAGGGTCTTTGAAGTACATTTCTTTTTGATGGCATTCTAAGTTTTTTCCTTGCCTTCAGAAGTTCAGCCACCATGCTAGGTCAGGTCAGTGTTCAGAATCTTAGAAATTTCCTCCTAAATAGGAGGAGAAAACTGTGTTTTAAACCTCTTGAAGTGAACTTTGTGCGGGTTTTTCTACCGAGAATAGTGAATGAAAAAAAATGGAATATCACATTTTTATTAATACAGTACATTCAAAGCTCTTCCGTACTAGTACGACAGAACTTTCCATGGAAACAAAACAACTCCATGTCCCTGTCAGAAGCCAGCAAGCTTTCAGGCAAAATGCAATCTTCGAAAGTGTGTCTCCTTCTCTGCCCCATGTACTTTGAATTTTAAAGTGAGCTCCATTTGGGGAAAGTTCCAGCTTGCTTAGTTAATCAGATATTGACAAAAACGAAATGAAACTTTCATGTTCTGCCTTCCTCATAGGGATTTGAACGGAAATAACATCACACGGATCACGAAGACAGACTTTGCTGGTCTTAGACACCTAAGAGTTCTGTAAGTTTGCTCTTCCTCTGCATGTTTGATCTATAAATTCATAAATATATAGTCAGACCTCAGTTTTTAAAACTGTTCTCATGGCAAAACAGAATTGTGTTTTATGTCTTGGTTACCTTTACTTTCATTTATAATTGCAATACATGTTTTAGTTAAAATTTGAAACTGTAGGATGAGGTCTGTATTATAGAAACAGAATTACAGAAATGTTCTAGAATCTGTTACACATTGAGTATATGTATAAAATGTAATTGCATTCATGATATGAATATGTAATTGGAGATGTTCAGTAATTTTAACATTGGAAGACTAGCTAGAAAAAAGCTAAGCCTATGACTTTTGTTATTTTTAATATAGAACAGTTCAGAGTCTGTGAGGCAAAGAACAGATAGGATTACTAAGATTAAACTCCTGCGCCATACCTTTACAGTGATTTTCGGTGGAAAAACATTTATCTGTGAAAGTACACTGATCTATTTTAGGCTACATTGTTTAGATTTTACTGTAGCCTTTAGAACATTCTTGGATATGATTAGTTCTTTGCTTGGTGGGCTAAGTTATCTGTGAGTGAAACTGTCGCTTGAAAGTGATCTGTACAATTGTTTTAAACTTCAGACTTGTAAATATTTATATCTCAAGGTCATCTACTTCCGATTGTGGGCTCATTGTTCGCCTCTTAGCAAACATTTTGGCCACATGGTTACTTCCCATTGCCAGTGCATAACCCCTGACTCAGAACAGCTTAGCCTGGGATAAGTAACTGTATATTGATTCTTAGTGAAGAACTAACTCAGTGGAAAATCAGTGTACTAAAAACCAGTTATCAAAGATAGGGAAGCGTGGGTTCTCCCTGGAAGTGGAATCCTGAGTTGTGGAGACGGCACCAGCATTTTCTGTGCAACTTACCCTCGTTCTTGTTGAGGAGGGATCTGAAAGCAGAGCAAAGCGTAACTTTGTAAAGGGAAGGAGGTTACAAGTTTCCAGTTGCTGAATTGAAACCTTCCCAGCTCCTGCGTGGTGACTTTAAGAGGCCTGTTGTATTTTGCTTTTCAGGCAGCTTATGGAGAATAAGATTAGCAGCATTGAGAGAGGGGCGTTCCAGGATCTTAAAGAACTGGAAAGACTGTAAGTATTTTTAATTCCGCACTAGCATAATTATATAGGTGCATACTTAAAAAATAGTTGAATTTTAAGGATCCTTTCTTCTGTTTTGTGTCTCATGTTTTGAAAGTTCATACAAAAAGAGGACAAATAAGTGGTTTTTAGGCTGTTTACATAACAAGTAGAGTTTCTGGGTAAAAATAGCTTGTAATCAAAGATACAGATTCAGTGTCTGAAATGTTCATTTCCTGACAGTCGTATTTTTCTTCAAGGTGTGCACGTTGTCCTTATTTTTCATTTGATATAAAAAATAGTTCAGTTACATGGGAAGATCTGTGGCGTTTTTTCGCATTGATGGCATCTTGGGAAAAGTAAAATTTTGCTAAACCTGTAGTTTCTTTGATTTCGGTGATACTGCTTTGCGTGTCACTGGTGATATCTGAAGAAACATTTTAAATTCTTATCAAGAATCGCTTTTTGGTATGCCACACTCATGGCAAAAATGTTTAATAATTACTACTCAGAGTTTTATTTCATTAGCTTTTGAAATTTGTATGTTTCTTGAAAAAGAAGTGAAAGATATAAATAAGAGCATTGTAGACAATGTGGTCATGTAACATTGGTTCTTGTTTTGTTCAAGGTGATTAAATGTAGATCTTAAGATTTTTTTTTCAGATGCAATAACTTGCTTATTGGTTTATGTTATTCGAGGCCACGTGTGTGCGTGTTTACTGCTGTGTGCCTACAAGAGGCAAGAGCTGTGTCTGCAGCAATTTGGACACGTTATAGACTTTGTCATTTGAAGTATGAATTCCCTGTTTCGTTTGTCTTGAATACTTACATTTGGTAGCTTTGCATTCCCAAGGCAAGTAAAACTTTGAAAAATAGGAATAATTATATTAATAACTTTCCATGCCTGCATTAAAAGTCATTTTAGGTTAAAAAAAATTAAATTCTTATTTAAAACAGTGAAATCTGAGGTCCATTTTAGGTGAAACCCATTGAGATTCACTGGGCCAAAGGGCGTCAGTTAATTCAGCTCAGTTGTCCATAAGGAGAAAACTGGCTTGTTAACATTCAGAGTATTTGTAAACAGGCCACATTTTAACCATCTCCAGTAAACTGCAGACTTGTCTGTTTTAATTGTTAAAGCTGCCTTTCGATCCATATTACATTATTGAGAATAAAATTGTTGAACTAAAAATACACTTGAATTCAGTATTTGGGGTGAGTTTTTTGAGAAACAACACGAAGATATCCATTTGATTGAATTTCTTTATAAACTTTCTAGGTTCATATCACTTTCTCAAAATATACAAAAATATACCCCAAGGTTTATTCCTTGAACTTCTTAGGGTTTCATGAATAGTTGACTTCTACTGAGGAACTGATAATATTTTTAAACCATCCATTAAAAGAGAGTTAATTTAAATGGCTGGTAAGAGGAATAGATAATCAAAGTTACACTTAAATGTCAAGAGTTTTTTAGGAAAAATGCCTGATCATCAGATGAAAACACTTAGGCTTTGCAACACTGAAAGCTTTGCAAGTCTTTTTCCTTTTCATGTAGATCCTGTTTGGGTTATATTGGAGTTTAAAATATTTTTAGGAACACTACAGTAAAACAAACTTTCTTGTTATTTTTTTTAAGCCATTTCAGAGTACTGTTTGAACTTTCATCTTGAATAAATTTGCTCTTCCTAAAAATTATTAACCAGATGCTCTATGATCTGAAATTCGATTAGAGTTGTAAGTAGGTACTAGTTTTTGACTTTTACTTCCCCTGGGAATGTCCGTTCATCTCACAACAATCTTCTATTCTGCTCAGAATGGGAGCAGGGTTTGTAGTTTTGACTGAAAACTAATATATATGCAGGACTTCTTTAAATGTCCCCAGCTGTTAGCCAAGAGCAAATATTTCATATTTGTGAGGAAAAGCTGAGAAAATTCCTTTTGTTTACAACTGCCAAGTCCATCTGATGGAAGCACATTGTTATCTGACAGCCAATTCATCTCCTTGGGACTCTGGAATTCAAAACCATTTCTTAGGAACATTGTGGATACACTTTTCAAATATTTGTTTATTTATTTTTAAATACATTAAAAGGCACAACAGGTTTGTTAAAGGGTGCATTCATGTTTTTGGGAAACTGTTTTACTTTTTGTTCAGTATGTGTTTTAAAAATAAAAAAAGTTAAAAATCCCAAGAGGATTCCATAGGTAAGTTCTTGTGGCCTGTGGCCTTATTTTGGTCAGTGTCATCAACACCATAAACTCTGCTTTTTTACAAACCTCAGGTAGACAGTGTGAGAGACAATATGAAATCAGTGAATTCACTTTGAATGATCTATGGTGTAAATTTAGTTTATTTTAAGCACATTAGATGTAAAAATTCAACTTGGAATTCTGAATTATGAAAAGGCATATGAATGGAGGTCTGCTTTAAATGCTGTTCGTATGGCAGATCCTGATTTAATTTTCACTCTTTGAACAACAAAGCAAAATAAAACATTACATTTTATTAACTTGTAGCTCATGACTAAATTGCTTTGAAGTGATAGAATTAAAAATATAAATCATTTTATCTATACTTTGAAGTAACTTATGTTGATGGAGTTTTACCTTGATCTATCAAATGAAGAGAAATCTGAAAGGAGATTTGGGTCTTTATACAAATAACATTTTTTAAGTATCAAAAATTTTACTTGTTTTATATGAGAGGCAGGGAGAGAGAGAGACTGAGAGAGAGCAAGCATACCCTGGAGAACTTCCCCTTCTGATGGTTAAGCCCTTGGATGTTTTTAGGGTCCAAGGCCTGGAGCCTGTAACTCAGTTCAGGTCTGCCACCTGGGCTGCTGGGACTCAGCTAGTTGAAGCATCACTTGCTATCTGCCTGAGTTGGATGCTGGACTCAGAGGAGTGGGGACTCCTACCCTTGGACTTCAGTATCGGATGCAGATGTTCGAACTTGTGTCTGAGTTACTAGGCCCTACCATTCATGTCTTTCTTCCAGTTTTATTTGAAAAAGTAACATGGGGAGAGGGAGTGAAGGGGTGTGTGTTTGTGTGGGAGAGAAAGACAGAAACAGAGGTCTTCCATGCGCTGGCTTTCTCTCCAGACGGCTGCGGCAGCCAGGCCTGAGCCATCGACTCCATCTTAGCGTTCCTCTTAGTGGTATGGGCCCAAGCAGGTACGCAGTCCTACGCTGCCTCTCCTACTGCTTTAGCAGGAAAACAGATCTGAAGCAGATTACCTGGGTCCAAAGCTTTCTGAGTGGCAGCTTAACAAGGGGTCAGGGACACAGTGCCAGCCTCTTGGTCCAGCGTTGAAGGAACAGGATCATGCTGTCGAATTGAATTTAATCTCATCTGAGAGTAAAGAAACTCCATATCAACTAAGTAAATTAATTACAGGTATCAAAGAGTACTAGTTCTCCACTTCAAGTCAGGAATGCAATACAAAATTCTGAGTGAAAATGTTAATAGATAGATGGATGTCAAAATCATTCCTCCCTCTCTTCCTCCTTTCTTCCTTTCTCTTTGGAGCTCTCTCTCCCTCTCTTTGTTTTACCCCTTTCATTCTCTCTCTCTCCTTTCTCCCCCGTTTCTCTTCGCTCTTTTCTGTTGTGTAGCAAACAGCATCAGATGACACAGTCATCACCAGAATGTGGTCGTGAGTCACTGCAGAAGGGACACATTTGAATCCTGCCTACACACCACGAGCACACATTGCTTCCTGTTGTGGCAGTTTGCCGTGACACGCTCTCAGACCAAGCTGGTGTGATCGGTTTGTAGTATACCCCACTGCCAGCAATTCCTGTTTCTTCACAGTGAAAACAGTCTTGACAATGCACACCTTGTGCAGATGGTGCCAGTGAGTCTCCTATTATTTAATCCAAACGTTCAAATGAAACCTAGTGTGATTAAGTGACTAATTCAAAGAAAATCAGTTGAGGGAAAATGAACTACAAATACTCTGTAGTAAGCATTCAGAGTATGTATGCAATAGACTTCTGACTTCCATTTTGTATTCACAGACGATATCTGTGCACATCTGTAATAAATTCTCCACTTAGAATAGTAGTTCTGAGTGCTTCCCATCTGATGCACGAAGTCCTGGAGTGTTAGAAGAAGTCACATGGAGACCCAGAAATGCCGTGGGCTGGTATAAAATGCAGTTGTTCGCTTGTTTCTGGGAAATGCTGAAGTCATTAAATCCCACTTCATGGCCTTTGCTGGGGATCCAGGCCATGTCAGGTTTCCAGTAGTGAACTCGTCTCTTTTGGCAAAGTCTTTCCTGACAGAAATGCGAGAGTCTGAGGATACATTTGATATGTTTTAAGGTAATCCGTGTTAGGCTATGTTTTTATTCACTTGATAAGTACAAAAACTAAATGCATGTATGTATAGATTGTGTTAATGAGAACCAGTAGCATATCAAGGGAAAAAAACCGTAGATATACCTGTCTTTGCATGAATATGACAACTGCCTGATAGACTTTTAGTAAAGAAATTGGAGATGTGATAAAAACAAGCTTGTGCCCTGTTCATTTTCTTAACCAATAATGGCTAAATCAATTATTTTACCATCCGTATTTCCTAAGTTTTCCAGTTCAGAATCTTTGGGTAGGGAATGATGGTTTTCATCCTAGCCTTGTGGCATGATACCAGTTTTACTTGAACAGAGAGAGAGTCCTGAAAATATTGTTATAATGGAGCCATGTTTGGAAGATTTCTTTCAAATTTGATATAAAGTTCTTATTTTAATTTAGAGAAATGCAATGTGTCTTAAAAAGAGGTTATATGTCATACTGCCATGTGAGAGAGTACCTAAAAAACATATTTGTTTCTCTGTTAAAGGGGGTTCTGAATTCACTCATGCTCTCTGTGTCCGTAAAGCATTCGTAAGTTGTCAGGGTGAGCCTGAGAACCTCTGCCAGGCCTGGGCTTTTGTTGTCGGTTGCTACACATGAGTTCAAGTAAAGAATATGTTGTGGAACAGGTCTGCAGGAAGACGCTGTTTAT